CCCGCCACACACCTGAGCATCCCGCCACACACCTGAGCATCCCGCCACACACGTGAGCATCCCCACCACACACGTGAGCATCCCCGCCACACACCTGAGCGTCCCCGCCACACACCTGAGCGTCCCCGCCACACACCTGAGCATCTGCACCACACACCTGAGCATCTGCACCACACCTGTGTCACACCCCTGAGAACATCTCTACAACACACCTAAGCATCTCTACCACACACCTGAGCATCTCTGCCACACACCTGAGCATCCCGCCACACACCTGAGCATCCCCGCAACACAACTGAGCATCTACACCACACCTGTGTCACACACCTGAGAACATCTCTACAACACACCTAAGCATCTCCACCACACACCTGAGCATCTCCGCCACACACCTGAGCATCTCCGCCACACACCTGAGCATCTCCACCACACACCTGAGCATCCCCACAACACACCTGAGCATCCCCACTGCACACCTGTCTGTACCACACATCTCTGTGTACTGTACTATGCAGCTGAGTGTGGACTATGTGTAGCACACGCCTGAGCACCCCCGCCACACACCCGAGTGTATCTGTTGCACACACCCAGCATCTCTGCCACAGCAGTGAGGTCCTCAGAACACACCCATTTCCTCACTATGAACAGGAAACAGTATTCCTCTGACAGTCTGTCTCTGTTGGCCTTCACCTCCGGTTTTTCAGGGAAGGTGGAGTGAATTCTGCATTCACAACCTCCCTTTCACCTCATGTTGGGATGAAGGGCCAGCCTCTCATGGTGCTCCTTCAGGCTCTGCTGTCCACAGGGAATAAGCCATACATGTACTTGGGCAGGTCCTCACCACTGCCATAACCTCAAGCCTCCAGAAATGCTCTAAGCAAGTCCCAGGTCCTCATCCAGGTATGAACCCAGGTGCCAGAGGGGCTGCAGGTCCCCAGAAGACAGGTGAGATGGGCAGAGAGGAGAGCACCAGGGACGGCCAGCAGGTGGGGGCCATCAGCTGGAAGGTACTGAGCCCAGCACCTGTAAGGCTGAGGCAGAAGGGGTGAGTGCCTGGGCACGTGGCTGGGCACAAGAGCCAGGCCCCCCTGCAGTCGGAACTGGGGCCACTGGGGAGGTACTGGTAGGAGTCCTCTGAGGTCACAAGATCAGTCAGTGACAACAGGCCCTGTAGCTAATAACATCTGGGACCCAACTGTGGCATCATGGCCCCCAACCAGCGATGTCACCAATAAGAAACCCACAGCCCCCATACCCACCAGCCCAGTCCCCAGTGGTCCCCTGCAGACTCACGTCCTCATGACCCTGGCCTACCCTCCTCCTGGTTCCAGCCAGAGCTGGGGTTAGACCTGACAAGGACAGACAGCACAAAGCAGGCAGGGCCATGGAATCCTGGGGACACACGCTGGGCAGTTGGACAGACACACACACACACACACACACACACACACACAGTCAGAGCAGAGGGCAGTGGATGAGACGGACGTGACCAGTGGGATGGGTGCCACGTGGGGCAGGTGACTACTGTGCAGGGTGAGCCCCTGATGCCTCCCTGTAGCCCAGGCACTATAAAAGGGGGTCATTATGCCCTCACTGAGACCAGAGGCACCTGTCCACCCCCCAGGACCCTCAGGCTCATTCTCTGAGGATTCACATCCACGGAGCTGAGGTTTCCAGAAAAATGATCCTCCACATAGAGCAGGGATTCAAGGGTTCAGAACCCTCCCGAAGAAAGACCCAAGCTAACAGGATAAGCACAGAGGAACTGGAAGGCAAACACCCTGAGACAAGAACACGTGAAATCATTTCATGTTACTTTGGAGAGAGTTGAGAACAAAGCTCAGGAGGAAGGTGGTGGTGGCCAGTGCAGCTGTCTGGCAGAAGGGGCCAAAGGCAAAAGCTGGAGACCAAGAGCTGCAGAAAGTGGCATCAAGGCCAAGGAGAGGATGCTGAAGGGACAGCAGAGGGATCAGCGCCTTCAAGACAGGGCCCTGGCCAGTGTCCGTTCTGTGGTAGGTCCAGCTCCATGGTGCTCAGTGCCGTGGGCAGGTCTGCAGGTTCCCGACCAGCCTGTTTCCTCTCCCAGACACAGATCAAGACTGGACGCAGGGTCCACTTTAGTCACAGCACAGCCGAGCTCTCTGTACCAAGGGTCCAGCAGACACAAGGGAACTGCAGGCAGGGACATCATGCTGGCTCCATGTTTGAAGACTAACCCTGACAACAGCAGGGCAGTGCAGCCGGTCACTGACAAACAATCACATAACTTCTAAACTGGTCTAGATTTGTTCATCCAAAGTTTTTTAAAAATTAAACTCCTGTGACAGGATGGGATAGTCTCGTTGGACTCTGCAAAGAGGTGCGGACGGGGTTGGGGAACATTCTGGAAGATGCCCCATGCTCTGGTAGCTGCCAGGCCAGAGACTGCATCTGAGATGGTAAATGTAGGGGCAGGCCTGGGACAACATGGCATGTCTCTCCAACTTACTGACTGGAAAGCTGAAGTAGAGCACCAGTCTGTAGCACGTACTTTATTGCTTACGCTGCACATACCAATGAATATAATAAACTCCTTTTTAAAAAAGTAAGGCACATGAAAAGCCTTTTGTGCAAGTTCCAGGTTATCTATAATTCCCATGGGCTAATGGCATTTCTACTGCAGAGGTGGAGATCCCTAAAACAGCGCAGAATGCATTTTTGCGAGACTACCTTAAACATGATTGCATTTTCCCCGTGGCACATTAATCAACAAAGCTAAGTCGGCATCACAATGACACAGCTACTGTTACAGCTGCAGAGACGAAGTCGGCCTATCCATGTATGTACAGCTGAGTCCCCAAATAGTAATTACATGAGATCTAAAGGAAGGACAGCCTCCAACAGCATCTGCATCGTTGTTTCACAGAAGGTCAGATTTGGCATTTCCAGTCCTTTCTCCGTTCAGTCACCAAAGGCTAGTGTCATACGATGCTGAAGACCATGGAAAGATACTGCTCATAGGACACCTGAATCCAGCCGTCCTGATCGGTATCGTAGCGTCTGAATATATCCGTCAGCCTCTGGGGAAAACAGACATTTAGATATCTTGTTATTTATTTTTAAAAGACATCAGGAACCCTTCTTAAGCACGTTTTGTCTAATGAAACTGTGGGATCCGTGGGGATGGGGGTATCCCTGACCCTAACCCTGAAGGCAGGGTTACCCTAGGGCCAGTGGACATGGATGGTGGGAGGGTGAGGGGAAGCACAGGACTGCAGGTCCAGCCCCTGGATGCGCCCTCTGGCCCCAGGCTCTGGTTTCTCAAGAGGGCTGGGAGGTGAGCCTGAACCTCCCTTCCATGCTAAGACTGCATGTGAGAGGTGCTCCTCCCGGCAGATGGGACACCAGCCTCTGCTCTGTCCCCTAGAAACTGCTCCCAGCAGGGGGGCCCAGCCCAGGGCAGTGTGTAAACATCACAGAAGGCTCAGAGTCCCTCCCCACCAGTAGCCTAGGGTCCTGACCAGATGAAGAAGGGGTGGCTCACACCCTCTAACAGGCCAGTAATGGAAGTGCCACCTTGCAGGGCAGACTCCAGCAACTCTGGAATGTGCTAGAAAGTCTTGATGATGCGTGAGAACAGGCAGGACAGCCAGCCCCACAGGACCTGTGAGAGGGGCTGCTTCCACCCACTCCTCGGCCTGCAGGGACTATGTGGCCCCAGTATGCCTCCACCTACTCCTGGGCCTGCAGGGACTGTGTGGCCCCACTCTGATACATGTGTGGGAGAGACCCACCAACACACAATGAAAACATCACAAGTAGTTAACTCTGGTTTAAAAAAATAACATGTATGGGGGGACCAGCAGTTAGCGTAATGGCTATGTCACTGGACTCCCACATAGTCGACTGTGGTTCGAGTCCCGAACCCTGTGACTTAAAGCGCACGCCGGGCGTGTGTGCGTGTGTGCCCAAGATCCTGAGAGGAGAATGGAGGAGAAGGGATTGCGGCGTGGCCATCCCCCTGGGGGGTGATTTCTCGCTTTTTGTCTCTGTCTGTCTGTCTGGCGAGTGCATGCACCCTATAGCAAAAACCTCTCAAAAAAAAAAAAAGTGTATGGGGCTGGATTCCCACATGGCTGGCTACAGTTTGAGTCCTGAACCTGGACCTGAAAAATCACACTGGGCACATATGTGTGCCTGCCTGGAATCCCAAGAAGAATGGAGAAGGGACTGTGGCGTGGCCATTTCTCCTGGAGGATGATTTCTCATTTTCCCTTTTTGTCTTTCTCTGGTGAGTGCACATGCCCTATGGCAAAACCTTTAAAAAAAAAAAAAAAGTAATTTTTTTCTTTGTATTTTATTTGTATTTCTGTAAGATTTTAGTCGCTTTTCCTGTTACTTTTCAAAGAGTGTTCTTCTTTTTGGAGAAAAAGGTAGATGAAGGTAAACACCCTTAAAGGGATTTTCCCTTGCTGCAGCCTCCTCCTCCTGAATTTTCCATTCCAGTCAGCATACAGGGTCATGCTCCAAGGAAGTCAGGCCTGCCGATGTGGCACAAAGCAGGCCACTGGTCTAGGAGGGACTGCAGTTACTCAGGGGACAAGACTGCAACGCCCGGTGGCTGAAGACCCACACAAGAGATCTTCACCAGGGTCGAGATTCAAGGATTGGGTGTTTACTCAAGGGACACAACCACAAATGAGAACCCTTCACCCTACAGCAATGTGGGCACAGTCCACGACGAGGTCTGTACACTTGAAGTGTTCACGGGACACTGCCAAATGGTACCCCACCTCACAAGGTAAGGGGCTCCCCATTTGAGAGGTTTAAGGCTTAAAGGTTAAAAGACCTGATTTCCTAATGCACCACTCAGGAATAGGGACTAATGTGTCCAGACTCATTTTTAAAGAAACAACTAACAAGTCAAAGAAAGAAAATTCACTTTTATTGATCTATCATTAACAGGAATGAAAGGACCCGGGAATGCTTCCAAAACCCTAGTTACTGTTCAATCTCTGGGTCCCAAAGATGGTGAGGTGGGACCTCAACTTGGCTCCAACTGTAAGGACTTACCTTGCAGAGACGGGTTCTGCTGAAACAGTTATGCAAAAAGCATTTGCTTTTTGTAAAATAGAATTTATTCAGAATAATGGGCGATGGTGCTGCAGGTATAAGGAAGCAAGAAAGGTCACTGGCCATGAGTCAGGGACTGGTGAACCCCCATTCCTGATACTGCGGTCTCTGGTGCTTTTGTTCAGAATGAGTTGTCATAAAAATTCTGAAAGATACATGAGGGTTTATCGACCTGCTGCATTTCTAAGGCTTTATCCACGAACCTGCATCTCCTCTCATAAACAGCAGCAGGGTCCTTACGGGAGCAGCTGTGTGGCCCATCAGACTCGCCCTGCCGTTCAGATGGCTCTGGGCTGTCCATCAGGCTCTGCAAGCCTCTCGCTGGCAAAGCAGAAAACAGCAGTACAGGCGACACAGAACCACTGCAAGGGACTGAGATGACAAGCTACCCAGACGCCGGTGTGCCCGGGAATGGCCCTGAGACCTCACTGTGGTGGGCCCACACTGGTATGCCCGGGAATGGCTCTGAGACCCCCACCATGGCGGCTCCACACTGGTGTGCCTGGGAACGGTCCTGAGACCCCACCGTGGTGGGCCCACACTGGTGTGCACGGGAATGGCCCTGAGACCTCACCGTGGTGGCCCACACTGGTGTGCATGGGAATAGCCCTGAGACCCCACCATGGTGGGCCCCATGCAGGGCTCTGCAGCTCGCCTGACACAGGTAGGACCTAGTGACCACTGTGATGGAAAACCTGCCCATTTTCTCAGAATCAAAGTTGTCTGTGGACCAGCAGGTGATATGGAGGTTTCGCACTGGATTCCACAGGGCCAGCTGTGCATATGGAGCCCAAAACATGGTGGTTTGAAAATCCCATCAGGTATGTGTGCCCACGTGCCCAAAATCACAAGAGGGGGCTGTGGTGCGGTCATTCCTCTGGGGGTAGTTTCTCACTTCCTCTCCCTGTCTCTCTCTAGTGAGTGTATGCACCCTGTAGCAAAACCGAAACAAAACCCCACAGCTAAAATAAAATAAGTTCTGTAAAATAAAATGTACTATAGGGTATAATGTGTAAATAATCCACTAAACACCAAAACAAAGTCCTCTTCCAAAGGGAATGCCCATACTATTTCTGAGGGGGAGAAAACACTATTACTATGCTTATTAACAAAGTAGCTATTTTTCCAAGGATGAGGGTGATGTTGATCAGTTCTAAGAACTTATTTAATACCATGCCAGGTTCCTTGAATTGCAAGTCAAGTGCTTAGCTCTGACAACTCTCCCCACTTGTCCCTAAGGCACCCAGAGGCCCCAAGTCACCTGCAAGACGATGCAGCCCTGGATGAAGTCGTCAAAGGCAATCTGCCCCCGTCCCTGTCTGTCAAACTTCCGAATCAGGATGTCATGGAACTGGTCGGACAGTCGGTAGCCTTGAAGGGAAATCAGAGTCGTCAGGGCAGAAGTGGAAGGTGTGCATCAGTGCCCCACCCGACACCGCGCCACAGCACACATGCAGGGAAAACAGCGCATTCACGCCGGAACGCTCGGAACGGAGATGCTTCCACATAAAGTGGTCTCCGCTGCATGAGGTGACTAGACATCGGCGCGGTCTCCTTGGAAGGGCAGGAGCGGCTCAGATGCAGTCACTGTCTGCAAGCTGAAGGCCATGTTCCATCCAGTGCCACAGAAACCACCACCTGGCGGTCACGCTCAGCTTGTTGAACCCACTGGAGTTACTTTGAGATGTCCTTCATTGATTTATGATGTTTATAGATGTGACGTGCTGCCCTGGGATACTCGTACCTGGAGAATGCTTCGAACCTAAAAGCTCAAATATGAGCGAAGCTTCCCAGAGACAGGCAGCACCCCGAGGAAGCGGCTTGCTGAGGTGCTCCTCTCAGATGTCGGCACCTGACACGGGGGAACCCGGGAGTGTCAGCGGTGAAGTGGCCTCACAGAGCTCAGTCACAAAGGGGCAGCAGGTGTCAGACTCCCTTTCCAAGTTACTGTGTCTATTGTGGAAGGTCCCCAAGGGAAACGACTCGGTGAGTGGACCCTACCGAGGACACTCTGGTATGCTGCCTTCCTCTCCCTTCTGAGTAGCCCCAGCTACTGCATGGTGGTCTGACCCCAACAGGAGACAAGATCCAGATACCAAGGTAGTTCACTAACATTGGTCTTGGACCTTTGCAAAGATGTGAACACTGACTATCTGAGAAGTGCTGTTATTACCTCTACAGACACAGCCAGCTTACTGACAAGGGTGGGGACAGGCAAACATGTACAATACACCTTCCTGAGTGGTTGGAGCATTCTACAACTTAAGTCCAGGGGCCTCAAATATTGACAGCAGGGTCACTTTAAGGTCGCTTTCCCTGTAAGCTGAGCAGATGATAGGAACCCGAGTTAAGCCAGAAAGAGAAAGCTGGGTTGTGAATAGCTGCCACTTCTCCCAGTCTCAAATGATAGTGGTGGGGACTTCAAAATGTTCATGGAAAATGGGAATTAAAATACACGGTTTTTTTTTTTTTTTTTTTTTTTTTGGTCAAACATAGAAAACCCATGCAGGTTTCTCATGCCTGTATTTTCCAGGAGCTTCTGAGCAACCAAAGCTGGGCCCCGACCCACTGAGAGTGGAGCTGGTAACATCTGGGGCTGCCTATCCAGGGTGTGGATGGTATCCTGCTAAGACTAGGAAGGATGGGTGAGACAGACGCAAAGGTGCAGGAATCCACCCCCTTGTACACACACAGAAGCAAACCCTCTACTCCTGGAACTACGTTCCCATTGCCCAAGAGGCCAGCACAGGACACGGAAGCAGGACCACAGTGAGTCGGACGAGTGAACCACAGACCCCTGCTATCCAGGGTGTGGATGGTATCCTGCTAAGACTAGGAAGGATGGGTGAGACAGACGCAAAGGTGCAGGAATCCACCCCCTTGTACACACACAGAAGCAAACCCTCTACTCCTGGAACTACGTTCCCATTGCCCAAGAGGCCAGCACAGGACACGGAAGCAGGACCACAGTGAGTCGGACGAGTGAACCACAGACCCCTGAGCTACGATGCAAAGCAGGATACTAGGAGAAGAAACCTGAAGCCAAGAAGGCTGAAGCCAGTGGCAAGGTTAAAAAGGGTGACCCCAAGGCTAAAAAGCCCAAGAAGGGGAAGTCCCACTGCAGCTGAAACCTACTTTAGTCTGTGGCATCGGAAGATACTCCCGGTCTGCCATGGATTCCAGGAAGGCCTGTACAAAAGGAAGTCCTCCACCACTAAATCCAGGATCGAAAAGAAAAAGAGGGTTCTTCTGCTGTCATAAAGTCAGTTGGTGGGGCCAGGTATGGAGGAACCCGGGTGATTCAATGGCACATGATGCCTAGCTATTACCCTACTGAAGATGTGCCTAGGAAGCTGTTGAGCCACGGCCAAAAACCTTCAGTGGGCCTGCGAGAAAGCTGCGAGCTAGTATCACTCCTGGGACTATTCTGATTATCCTCATTGGACGCCACAGAGGCAAGTGAGCGGTTTTCCTGAAGCAGCTGAGCAGTGCCTTGCTACTTGGGTCTGAATCTCTGGTCCTCAATCGAGTTCCAACTGCATCAGAACACACCAGGAATCTGTCAATCACCACCTCCATGAAAACTGAGATTAGCAAAGTAAAACTCCCAAAACACCTCACCAAAGCTTACTTCAAGAAAAAGAAGCTGCAGAAGCCCAGACACCACGCAGGTGAGATCTTCAACACATAGAAGGAGAAATATGAGATTAGAGAGCATCACAAGGTTGGTAAGAAAGCTATGGACTCACAAATTTTACCCAAAATCAAAGCAGTTCTTCAGGTCCAGGTATGTTTGCCCTTACAAATGGAGTTTATCCTCACAAATTGCTGCTCCGAATTTCCTGCCAAAACCTAATTAAATAACTGATATTATATATATAGAGATATAATAGAAAGAAAGAAAGGGGGGGGCTGGTAGGTGGCATGGTGATTAAGGGTGCTGGACTCACACATGGCCGACCGCAGTTTGAGTCCTGACCCTGGCGGCTTGCTTTCTCATTTTCCTTCTTTCTCTCATTCTGTCCCTCTCTGGTCAAATTAAAATAAACAAAGTTAAATAAAACAAAGTTTAAAAAAAAAAAAAAAAAGGGAGCCAAAGGCTGAGTGGAGGCAGGGGTGCCTGGAAGGAGCAGGGAGTGGCCCCACCTGACTGCCGCTGTCCGCAACGACATGCTGCACCCCAAGGGCGAGTTTTACTGTCTGTGACCCAAACTCACCTACACAGACACTTGTGGCTGCTGGCCGCCCACCAGGCCTGGGCCAGGGCTCACCCCCTTGATTCCTGGTTTCCGTATCTGGCATAGACATGGAGGATGATGGTACAGAAACATGAGTAGAAGGGGAGAGCCACACGGCCCATTGAGCTCAAAAGCTGCAGAGCTGGTGGAAGGCGGCTTCTCTGTTCGCCTGAGAGCAAAACGCCTGTGCTTACAAAAATGGGACAGGACTGTTAGCTCCTGAGGCTGACTTCCTAAGTCACTACTCAGCATCTTACAAATGGCTAAAATGCAACAATGGGGACAACGCCCCTTTCATAGAACATATGGAGATAGCCCTGGGAAATGAAGAACCAAACAGGAAGAAGCCTCTCAGGAAAACCAAAAAATGCCACGGCCGGGCCTTTACTTGCTCTAGACACCACCAGGAGGGGAGGAAGGCTCCATAAAGCGGCCACATGCCTGAGCACAGCAAAGCTGATGACCCAGCAGCTGCCCATGGCAAGCACACGTGGAGTATTCCCGAACACCCTGGTCAAACCAGGACGCAGAGACCCGAGGAGCCAGGGATGCCATGCCCAGTGGAGTTCCCACCATGGAGCCGGGTCCTGAGCAAGGAGGGGCCTCCAGGGCCCATAGGTCTAGCACTCAAGGCCATGGTCCAGAAATAATGCTGGGGTCTAGGCTCACCCCATGTCCACAGGGCCCTTTCCTCCACTGGGCAGCACTGGGCCGTACCAGGGCGGCTCCCTAAGGGCCCCCCCAGCTATCCCAGCTTGGAGTGCAGCAAGACCAGCCACACTGCAAGCTCCCGGCCAAATCCAGGCCCAGACTGCTGAGCACAGAACTCAACCTCCTGGGTGGACCCTGCCTCCAGCCAGCCATGGACGAGTCTGAAGGTGAGAAGGAAACAGAGATGGCCGTGTCGGGAAGGAGCCAGTGAGGAGTAGCAGCTTGATGCTCTGGGAGGCAAACCCACACGAGAAGGCTCTAGGCGCATGTCATGTCCCTGAACACACCTTTGCACGTGTGTCTGTTATGGGGCTGTGTGAAGCTGAAGGTGAATTGCTGCTAGAAGAAACAGTGGGGATGCTACCTGTCTCTCTTGCTTACAGAAGAAAGGAAATTTAAAAAAGTAAAAAGAAATAAGAAAAGAAAACTGGGGAGAAGGACAGAAGTCACGTTAACAACCACAAAAAAGAAGGTACTTCAGCCTCAAGATACGGAGACCATACTAGATGATAATCCGACTTATTTTCTCTGGAGAGTGTGATAGACAGCCTTTTAACCAACCACAGAAGGTTCCAAAACACAGCTCAGGTGAACAGGGCCCAGGGTGAAACAGTTCCAGACCAGAAGGAACCTGGTGCAGCCACCACAGCCCGGGCTAGGCCCAAACAGTTCAGTTTTTCCTTTGGGAACAGAAACCTCAGCTTCCCTCAGAGCCGAGGCCAGCACTGGAACCTGTGGATGCACTCTGCACAGGTGCGACACACATTCCCGAGGCACGGCACACTGTCACACGCCAAACCTGCATGTGTGTCGCGGGCCTGCACACACGCTGAGAGCATTTGAGAATGGGCACACACACATGCTGAGAGCACCTGAGAATGGGCACACGCCTGCCATGTGTGTTGCATGCCCACACACACACTGAGAGGACTTGAGAACGGGCCCACACACATGCTGAGAGGACTTGAGAATGGGCACACTCCCCTCCAACTCCCCTTCAAGGCACACGGTGGTGGAGTCAGGTCTGGTAACCCACAGAACCAGACTCAGGCTGTCTGTCATTTCCCATTTGTTTTAAAGCGCTGTGAAATATAAGCTGCCTCGCACCACTTTGTTTTCACTTATTCACTCCAAATTGTTTCAAAAGCCACATTCTCAGTTTTGTCCACACCACTCCATGTCACAAAAGATGGACAGCTTGCATAGCCCTTATCTCATTTTGGATGAAAAGCTGCATAAAACTCTCCGTGTCAAATGTAAGCCTTCATGAGATAAATAATACCAACATTTAACCCTGCACAACATAAACGAACATTTTACATGGGGTTAAAACTCAGTGGGTTGGAACAATGTAAAACCCTGAGTGACCCAGCTCCAAAATGAAACACGCTACGCGGTGGAGTGAGTGAGTTACCGAAACCTGAGAGCGCCTGCTTGAGCTCGTTCTTGTCGATCATCCCGGAGTTGTCCCGGTCGTAGGTGCGGAAGACGTTCTGCCAGTCGGTGATGTACTTCCACACGCCAGTGAACTCACTGAAGTTCACGCCTGCCTTGTTTTCTCGGTCAAACATAGCTAAGACAGAGGAAGGTCAGCTGTGCACCAAGTCCATCTCTGCAAGTCCATCACAGCAAGCCTGCCCCAGGGTCGTCATTGACTCTGTGGCCCCGGCAAGAGGCTGGGCCTGCTCAGCACTGCGTGATGGCCCGAGAGTGCTTGGTTACCTCTGCCCAGAGGCCAGCCCTCACCTAGCCCCTCGCTGCTGCCAGGTAGGCGTGCACACAGCTGGGAGGCAGGCACGTGTGGGAAATGTAAGCACTCGTGCCATGGAGCCACAGGAGAGTCACAGCAGCATTTCCCAACAGGACAGGTCCCCGTGCTGCAGAGTAGGTAATGGCTGCCCCAACAGTCCCCAGAACTGGTCCTCCTCATCAGGGAACCCACGTGCCTATTGGCAGAGGTTCAGAAAGGTCCTACCATGTCGGGGGACGCCCACTTTAATTAGCTTTACTTGTTTAAGTAAGACCTGGTTTTCATTTAAGAAAAAAAGAATTCAGGGGCTGGAAGGCCCGGCAGTAACATGAAGCTCTGTAAGGGGGACCCACATGGAAGGCTCTCGGTGCATGTCAGCAGCTCCCTGAGTGCATGCCCACCATCGGGCTGGCTGAGTGGGCAGAAGGTGAGGCATGACAGCAGCTGCTGTCTCTCTTGGCCCTGCCCAGCCCTTCTACTGCCCCTCTCGCTAATGGAAGAAATAACCTTTTTTTTTAAAAAAAAGAATTATTTTATTTGGGACCAGCAGATGATGTAATGGTTACATCACTAGACTCCCACGTGGTTGAGTGGTTCGAGTCCTGGACCCAGTGGCTTAAACTCATACCAGGCACATATATGTGCATGTGAAAATCCTAAAAGGAGAATAGAGAAGAAGGGATCGTGGTATAGCCATCCACCCTAGGGGGTGATTTCTGGCTTTCTGTCTCTCTGGTGAGTGCACGTGCCCTACAGCAAAAATCTCTTAAAAAGGAAAACAAAGATTTTATTTATTTAACTTTATTATTATTTCTCAATTTGACCAGAGACACAGAGGGAAAGTAAAAAAGTAAGCTGCTAGGTCTGGAACGTGAACCGTGGTCAGCCGCGTGGGAGTCCAGTGCCTCAGCCACCATGCCACCTGGAAAAAATGAATTTTAAAAAGAAAAATCAGGTAGCATGGTAGTTAAGGCATTGTACTCTCATATGGCCAACTGAGGTTTGAGTCCTGGGCCTGGTGGCTTAAAACTCATCCCAGGTGGCTGTGCATGGGTGCCCAAAATCCCAAGAGGAGACTAGAGAAGGGACTGGGGCACAGCCAGCCCCCAGGGGATGATTTCTTATTTTTCTCTCTCTCTAGTGAGTGCACATGCTGTGTGACAAAAACCTAAAAAAAAAAAAAAAAAAAAAAAAAAAAAAAAGATTACAGAGAAAGTTAAGATGGGGCCATCAAGTGGCATAATGGTAGTGCTGGACTCTCACATGGCCAACCGTGGTTCAAGTCCTAGACCTGGCAGGTTGCTTTCTCTCTTTCTCTGGTGAGCATGCTGCTCTGTAGTAAGTTACACATAATAATAATAAACAACTTAAATAAGCAATTCTTTAAAAAAATTTCAAAGACTGCGGTCAGCAGATTAAGGTGTTGGACTTCCACATGGCCAACCATGGTTCAAATCCTGGACCTGATGGCTTCCTTTCTCTTTCTCTCACTGTCTCTCTCTGGTGAGCACACGTGCCCTAGAGGAAACTTAATAATAACAAATAAAATAACATAAATAATAACAAACTTGAAATATCATATAAAATATTTGAAGACAAAAGTTGCAATCACAGAAACAGAGACCATCCAAAAATAACCAGATAAAACTTGAAAATAACTAAATAATTCAGGAATTACATATACAGGCACACACACATGCATATAAAAAAAAACTATAAAATTAGAGTCTGAAGGGTTAATTTAAGCAGTAAGTCAAAAATAAAGCAGCCAGCCAGTGGTGTGGTGACTAAGGTGACTCGATCCCAGATGGCCAATTGCAACCCAGCAGCTGAGAAACACCCCATGTGTATGTGCCTGTATGCCCAAGCCCCAAAAAGAGAAATGAGAAGAGACTGTGTTGTGTCCATCCCCCTGGGGAGGGAGCACGCTCTTATTTCCCCTCTGTCTCTCTTTGGTGAACACATGAACCCTCTAGCAAAAGCTAAAAAAAAAAAAAAAATTAAAGAATTAGTGACAGTAACACACACAGAGAAGACATGCTGAGACAGGAAGAGGAGGCCGACGCCAGCTACTCAAGAGGAAGGGAGACCAGAGGGGAGATGGGAGAGATGAGGCCGCGAGGACGCGTGGCAGGATCTGAGCGGAGACCACGCAGCCCCGCAGCTATCTGCACAGGCACTTACATATGATCGACCTGACCGTCACTGGGTTAAATGGAGTCCATGTGCCTGAAAACAAACAGACAACAGGAATTAAACTAAGAGTAAATGATTTTCACAGGACACTGGCAAGTCCCTGACTTTTCTCCAGCAACACAATGGACATTGTCATCTGTTCTAGAGCAGAGTCCCAGCATGGGTGGGGCTCCTAGGGGACACGACCCAGAGGTTTATGGTTGCCACGATGATGGGAGAGTCAAAGGTATTTTGGGGTCAGGGTCCCATCCTTCATATCCACCCAGATATTCAAAGTTGAGGCTGGAAGCACACCCTCATTTAACATAAACAAAACCAAGAAATTGCTTTACATTATTTTAACACACATAGACTGTTCCAGGAATGCTGAGGTCGTCCTTAGTTCTGCTGAGTGTCACTGTCCCCATCCCACACCAAGACCACCATGGCCCGCAGTCCTGGAGTCGCCAATCCATAGAGCACAGCCTGTGCTGCTGTTCACAGCAGTTCTGACACAGGCATGAACACAAGCACGCCGACCACACCTAAGCAAACGCTCCTGAGTTGCACTCTGGCTGTTGGGCTGTTGCCCTTGAAGCTGTGAGCAGACTGCCCATTCTGACCAGGATACCCCAGAGAGCCCAGAACTAGCCACCAACTGTGATGATGACTGTTCAAGACGCCTGCACACTCCAGGACCTGCTTGCTGCTTCCTGATTTTGCCACAGGCATGTGCACTTGCCAGAGACAGAGAGCAAGAGTGAGAAAGCACCCCCAGTTGGGTAGAGTCATGCTGCAATCCTTTTTCCACTTCTCAACCTCAGGATTCTGGGCACATACACACAACTGGCATGTTTTCAAGCTCCCAGAGCTGGGACTTAAATCATGAGACTGGCTCCCTTAACCTCCAGGACATGGGCCCTTTGCTAACTTTGTGTTTTGTTTTTTCAGTTGCCAGAGGGCACATGCGCTTGGCAGAGAGGGACAGTGGTCACAACACAATCCTGTCTCCTCCACGTCTCCATCCTGTCAGTTTCAGGTGTGTGCGCCCAGTGTTTTTCAAGCTGCTGGGGCGAGGACTCAAACCATGCAGTTAGCCATGTGGGATCTGGCTCCTTTAACCACCAGGCCATGGGGCAAGCCCCTTTACTTATTTTTTATGCACTAAAACACGTTTTTAAGTGAGGAAATCAGTGGCTCTCTTTATCCCCCACTGTACAGAAACACATCGTTTTTCCTTCCATATATGCAACAGTGTGGTTCTGGGTGGTATGCAGTCCCGATCCCACAGAGTGACGCTACGCAGGACATGCGTGGTGTGTTTGCAGCTACTTCTCTCATGCCTCCACACCCCTCCCCTTTGGGTCATTCTGAGCTTATATGGCTCCTCCCAAGTGCCAGCCTGCTCAATTCTGGGCTTTTTCCCATCCTAAAGTATGTGCCCCCAAAACAGTCACATGCTCCATTTCAGACTCATTCTCTTCCATCCTCAGGGAGCTTTCCTCCAGCCTGTCCACTCTGCCTCGGCGTCTCCCCTGCCTCCAGAAAACCTGCCCACCTGCAGCTCCTGACAAGGCACACTCCTCTGAGGAAGGCAGGGTGCACCTGTCCTGGGCCTAGCATACGTCAGCACCTGATCGGCATGTGTCACGTGGACCAGGTTTACAGTGTGCAGGAAGATCTGGGCGACTTGGTCTATCCTGACTGTAAGCAGAAGTGTCTCTGGGCCATCCTGGCAAATAAGCTGGATGAACACTTTTCAACCAAAGCGACACAGCCAGATACAGGTAAAGTGCATGTCGACACTGCCACACAACCACAGCGGAAGGCTGGCAAGAGAGCAGTGCGCGGCAGGGCGCGTCGCTGAGAGCTGTGCTGAGGGAACCACAGCCACACTCAAGTTCCCGGAGTGAGTCAAGAGAGCAGAGACCATCCTGAGAGAACCTACTCCTTGGCCACGCCGGATGCCAAAGAAATGGGTGGCAGCTCTCTCCACTGTCTTTCCTGCTTACAGTGGGCCTCCTCACCTCTCCCAGAAACCAGTGACAACAGCAGTCAACACTCAGCTAGATCTTCAGCATGTGTCAGACAAGGCCTGGCTCCAAGATGACATATCAAAGCTGAACCACCCATGTGCAGGTGGGACTCAGTGACGTGCACACATTGAGAGTCTGCTCATCGGAGAGGCATAAACACGCTTGAGCGTCAGTCCTCAAATCTTAAGTAGTTTATGAAGAGTCTTCTGAGAGAAAATATAAGCCGTACAAATAAGCAATAATTCAGAATGGAGAACACAGAACATAAGCCCTTCACCTCTAGGGACCCTGCAGTCCAGATTCCTAGGCTGGCCCCAATTTCCCACTATCCAGCCTGCCTTCTCCAATAACTGACATGTCTAGGAAATGCCAGAATGACTTGGTTTGCACCAGATCTCCTCGCACATTTTTACTTAGAATTAGGAACCTGTGAGTCTTGCACCGACTTCATCTCAAAGAACCAAAACATACACAATGTTCTCCATGCAAACTGGGTGGACATAACTTTTTGACCTATAATTTGAGGATGGTGCTAAAGCCGTAAGCAACACTTGAAATGACTAATGGTGATGTAAGGAAATTTATAGCTGTACAAAGGCAGTCAGTTACCATCTCGTGTTTTCCCACTTAACTTTCAACACGACTTAATCTGCCACCCTTCTCTAAGGGGAAACCCCACCCAGCCCCTGCTCTGCAATGACCCTTTGTCATCTACTCTCTAAGCACTCGCTTCCCTGAAATTCTGTCCTGCTGACTGGAAGCTAAGTCGCTGATAAAGACGGTAGCGAGCAGCCCACAAGCACATGGTGTAACCGAAACACTGACTGTCTGGAATTACTTCCACTCTCTGACATCTCATCCCAAGACTCCCTGTCCATCTGGGCCTTTCTGCCAGAGAGGAGCACCACGTGACAGAAAGAGGTGTGAGGACGTGAGTGGGGGGGTGTGTCCCACCCACCAACTCTGACGGTAACCAAGGCGTGGCCACACAGGTGCAGCAGAACACTGTTTCCCAGGTACCTTCTGCCATTGCTTTAGTCATGGCTGGCAATAGGGTCTTTCTGAAGAGCAGCCTGAGAACTGACAGCACTCACCCTGCATTTGATCAATTTCACCTCTAGAAATCTGTCCTTTGAAGCTACAGGATGAGGCGCATCAGTGTGTGCCAGTGGAAGTTGCAAGGCATCTACGTGTCTGAGAGTGGATGCAGGTTCTGGTAGACAGACTCTGCCATCCCAGTTCTGCATCTGGCTCAAGTCCAAGGGAAGGAGAAGTAGGGTCTGGCTGGTATAGGCTTGGCTCAAGGGTGAAAAAAGTCTAAGTTTCCAGTCAGCAAAGCGCTCTCAGCCAGCACGGGCTGAGCACTCGTCCCTGGGAGCCAGCCAAGGGCAGTTGGTCATCAACAGGCCTGGGTGTATGTGGGGCCTGGGCGTGCACGGGGCCTGTTCACCCTGGGCCTGCCGAGTTCACCCTCCTCAAACGGGCAGGTGAACGCTGTGGGTAATCTCAAACTCGCTCCGCCCCACCACCAGCGGCAACAAGCAGTATGACCAACCAAACCCGGACCATGGGAGAGGCAGTGCGGTGACCGAACTAGAGCTCTCCAGGGCTGGTCCTGCTTATGCAATCTGACTTCCCAGTCCATTCAAATGTGGGACCCCCAAAGAGCCAGAATTCTCTGGTAAAAACACCTTCAAATGAGTATAAGAATTATAACGTTTTTAAAGTATAATTAAGAAATGCCCCTTCAAAACACATCAATACGTTAAGGCAAACCTACTTCAGAAACGTGGAAAAAGAGGCTCAATTTCTCTTAATTTAAAAGAAATATGAAAGAAAAAAAAAGTACCAAACTCAAGATAGCCTGTGACCAGCTGCTTCCAGTGTTCCAAAAGGAGGGCTGACAACGCCATCGCGCGCCATGCCTGCCAACTGCAGACCTCGCAGAGCAGCCATTCTTAGCGGCTCTCCTGTGGAAACAGGACTCTCAAAGAACCCAGTGTCTGGGACCTACAACACTTCATTTCATTATGGTTCAACGAAAATTTAGCAGAGAAGTCGGTGTACCTAGAGTGAGAAGCCATGCTATTCCGTAGGTGTGGTTCCTTATCAGTGATGCATTAACTTCCTGACTTAGCATAACAATCTACTGTGTCATCAGAAGTCAAGATACGTTTTCACACAGAAAAATACATCATGACTTTTCCAATGATCCAATAGTTCTGATATCAAAACACAAGCCCAGGTCAGCCATGGCATGATTAAGGTGGCTGGACCTCACACAGCTGTCTGCACAGGTCAAATCCAAGATCCAGCAGCTTGTGAAACATGCTGAACACGCTGGGTGCGTGCTGACAATTCCAAAAGGAGGGAGAGATGGAAAAGGGACTGTGGTGTGACCACTCCTCACGGGGATGCTTTCCCACTTTCTCTCTCTCTGATAGAGCGTAGGCTGCCTTTAGCAAAATTTGAAAAACAAAACCAAAAACAGAAGCCCAATTCTGAGAGGCTGAGCAGTCAAAATCGTCTCAATCCTAATAGCGCAGGATTCAAAGAGGGGATGAAAACTGGTAAGTGTTCATCCAACAAGAAATGTCGTTTGTCCACCACTGTCACCTTCCTTCATGAATCATCACAAACCCTGTGGTCTAGTCACAAGACAGAGCTACAGAAAGGACAAGGAGATGGGTGGGTGTCAAGGAGAAGTGCGGTGATGGCCCCGAGGCAGAAGCAGAGCAGTCTGCCTCAAGGACAGGGGTCTGAAAGGAACCCTGAAGGACGGGCAGAGCTGCAGCCTACAGTGATAAACACGTGGGAGCAGCAGGTGGGAAATGCAGGGCGCTGGCAGGATGTCCAGTTCAACTGACACCAACAGATGGAGACAAGGTGGGAGAACACAAAGGCCTTAGCATGGGTGCCCAGCACGAGGCGCAAAGCCCACACAGTCGGAGCACACCTGGATTCAAACCCTGGGTGCAATGCAACAGCTACCAGTAACACAACAGGCAGTAAGTCAGTGCTGCCATCACCACGTGAGGCCGTAATAAGTCGGCGCTGCCTTCGCCGCGTGAGGCTCCAAGGGAAATGGGAAATTCACCTTTCTTAACAGTCTGCCTTATTTCAGACAGAACTAGGAGACATTTATAAAGATATTCACAATGAAGCACACTAAATTAAATTTTGTTGGCTATAAGTGGTGTGATTGAAAAAATGACAGGAACCAGAAGATGGTATAATGGTTATGTTGCCAGAGTCCCATGTAGTAAACACCAGTTCAAGTTCTAGACCCAGTGGCTTTAAACTAATGTTGGGTGCATGTGTGTGCATGCCCAAGATCCCAAGAGGAAAACGGAGAAGGGACTGAATCACGGTCACCCCCCTGGGGTGTGTGTGTGTGATTTCTTGCTTTCTGTCTCTCCAGAGAGCACATGCATCATAAAGCAAAAATCTCTCTCTGTCTCTACATATATATAAAAAGAGGATAAAGGGAAGAAAGCAAGGAGCCAAAGACTAGTTTGGGAAATTTACCTCTTAAAATTTGTAACTTGAGCTGGCCTTGTTGCGTAGTGGTAATGGAGCTGAATTCCACATGGACGAACACAGTTCAAATCTCAGCCCTGGCAGCTTGAAAAAACTCAGTAAACATGTGCACGCATGCCCAAAATCTCAAAAGGGTGGCGAAATGGAGAAGGAATTGTGGTGTGACAATGCCCTGTTGGGGGGGGGGGTGCTTTCTCCCCCTCTTCATCTCTCTTAGGGAGCACATGTGTCCTCTGGCAATTAAAAAAAGAATTCTTATTTGTAATCATCAAGACACAAATTTGATTTTAGATTTTTTAGCCGCTAATCCAAAGAGGAAAATGTAATCAGTTAAAAAATTCCAGGGTTTGGGGCTGGCAGATGGCATGTTGGTTGAGGCACTACATTCCCACATGGCCGACAACTGTTCGAGTCCCAGATCCAGCAGCTTGGAAATCATGCCAGATGCACGTGCATGCATGCCCAAAAGGAGAAGGGATTATAGTGTGGCCATCCTCCCGGGGGAAGGGGTGGTGATTTCTCACTTTCCCTTTCTCTTTCTCTGTTCAACAAGTGTATGTGCCCTATGGCAAAAACCTAAAAAAAGGAAAGAAATCCAGGGTTTATAAGATACAAACAAAACAGAACAGTACCACAGCTGCTTAGGATACAAGAAGCCCCATGCATCCCAAGATAGGAGGACTGTCTCTCAGAGACACCCTGCAGAGCTCACAGGGCCCAGTGTGTCCTCTCTGGGGTTAACAGTGACTATGGCTTTGTGGGCCCAGTACTCACACATGGTCAAATCCACAGGGCGAGGCAAGGAAAGTGACTCCACTGGGACCACTGTGCCATGGCCCTGATGCACTTATCAGCCTGGGTCAGGCCGGGTATCAATCCATTTCAGAGTATTTTAGGAATGGTGGGTCCAGCACTCTGTGGGCAATGCTGCTAAGTTCTCAGGCAGGGTCTGGCAGACACTCAGTAGCACTGAGAGTGAGACTCTCTAAGACATGTGCTAGGGTAGGTAAAGCATTGTGTGCTTCACCCAGCCTAACCAGAGCAGGACTGACACCTCTGGTGAAAGACACACATCAGGACGGGGTGCTGTGCCCAGTCCCAGGCCCAAACAGCAATGCTGACGTGCCCACAGGTGGGTGCTGACTGTCGTCACCATCTTAGGTAATGGGGAGCAACAGAAAGCTTGGAAGCAAAACTATTACTAAAACGCAGACGGCAGATTCTGAGCAGGGCTGTATGCCACACATCCTGAGATGCACTCTGCAAGCACTTCCTCGACTAACCTCCCAGACGCAGTGAGGTCAAGGGCTTGCCAAGTCTCATTACTAACATCGGGGGAGCCAAGACTGAGTCCAAGCAGGCTGACCCAGAGCTCCCTACTCGAGCCCCTCAGGTGGACGGGCAGCCACATGACTTAGACTTGGCCAGTACTGCAAAACTTCCAGCAAATGACAGGAGACTGTTCGAATGGTTCATAAATCTCTCACCACCTACTGGGAAAACACTTCAATGAATGTCTCTGAAGCATGATGCCCATGAGGGCCTCGCAGCACCAGTGCTTGGCCTGGCACTCCAACCTGCATCGCATCTGACCAGCTGGAACTCGGTCTGGTGAGAGGGCCCACTTCAGTCAATGCTAAGAAAGGGGTGGCCAGAATCTGCCAGGCTGGAGCCCATCACATTCCAGGTTCTAGTATAACTCAAGCGCTGGAGACGCAACTACAAAACAAGGGCTTATTGTAATCCGAGGAGAGAAAACGAAGACGGCACAACTGTCAGGGCAGATGTAACGTAATTTCTGCATCTCCTGAAAACCACGTACATGTGTGTGCAGTAACATGGCTCATGGCGCCACTGGCTGAAAACACAACTCCCCCCGGCTCGACACACAACCACCAGCAATCAAGGCTGAATACCTCTGTGTGTCCTTTCAGTCACCCAACATGCCAGGCAGCGTCCAGTCTCATGACACCAAAGTGCTTCCCAGCAATGAAGATATTTTCTACACTGCACTGCATCTAAAACTGACCCTTTTCTACCTAAACATAGGCCTCTGGAAACGCTATGAGGACAGCAAAGACGTCACTGCTGGCACGGTGGGCTGACCATGCTGAAACTGCAAGAGCACAGCTCCAAGGAGCCCCACACCAGCCCTGCAGTCCTGCTCGAGTGTCTAGTACTCCCCCGCTGACAGAAAAGCCTGCCCATGGTCTGGCTGCCAGTGCCTCTCCTAGCAACCACTACTGCTTCAGCAGTTCCTATAGCAACCACATCCCCACAAAAGTGCTGGACCCTCTGCAGACCCTTCAATTACCTCTCAGTGTCACCCGACAAGCCCTCTGGCACCACTGACGGTCCTCTCCAGAGAAGTCACTAAGTACGAGGACCTAAGGGCTTCTGCTGTATGAAGCTAAACGTCCTACTCTCCCCCAAACTGCGTCCTCTTCAGGAGTGTCTCTGCACTCACACACGCAGCTGCTCAGCCCTGGTGGACGTGTAAATAATTGAGCCGCAGTGACACCAGGCCAAGGGATCAGAGACAGCTCCACTGCATCCCAGCCAGAACCGAAGCTGGTTCCTCTGCACCTGGTGAGTCCACTGAAACTGCTCCCTGCGCGTGGCTGGTCTTGCCCGGGTCCCCCGGGGCCACTCACCGTTGGACAGCGCTTGCTGAAGCTCGTTGTCGGAAATCACCCCACTCCTGTCTTTATCAACCCTGCAGAATCAAAACGGCCAGTTAGGCTGGTGATGAAAATGCAGGAAAAGCTCAACACGGCAAAAACAGGTTTCAGGGACGTCACCCTCCCGCCCACGGGAACAGGACCGGAATGTCCCTGAGCGGCTGGGCTGCCCTCTCGTCTTCCCTTCTCTCTTGCCCTGGGTTTACACCTGAACTGGTTTCTTTTCATAAACAGAAAAAACCCTCTAGAGCAATTAAGCCATTCCCGGGCCATGAGTCACTCAAGTTTCGGCCACGCACGCAGGCCCAGGGCGACCGGGGCAGCGGGGCTGGAGAGCCCGCTCGGAGGCTCCAGGCCCGGCAGGCGGCCTTCCCCAGGCGGCGGCCGGAGGGTCGGGGTGGCAGGCCGAGGTCGGAGCGGAGGCCGGGGAGCCAGGGGACCGG